GGCGTTGGCGCGGAGGGCGTGGTGCGCGGAGGTGGAGGCGTGGCCGGCGGCGGCGGCGGCGGCGGACGAGGAGGCGGAGGCGGCGGCGCAGGCGCTCACCCGCTCCTCCACGGCCACCTTGCGCGACTTCCACACGAACTCGCACACGGCGATGACACACGCCACGCCCATGCCGCCCATCAGCACCACGAACACGCCGCCCACGTTGGCCAGCCCCAGCTCGTTGGCCGTGCTGCTGCTCTTGGTGTTCTCGTCCTGCGCACAGCGCCGCGCGCGCCGTCACTCAACCACCCACACTCTGTAGGGGTTCGTCTGCACTGGGTATGTCCCGTATACATACAGTTTGGACGAACACCTACAGAGCAAATAAACAAGCACACATAACCATTACAATATAGTCGGTTTATTACACATAAAAACCCATACACTGTAGGTGTTCGTGTGTACTGGTTGTCAGTAAGACGAACACTTACAGAGTAACTCAACAAGCATACGCAATCGTTACAATATAGTCGGATTATTAAAAACAAGAACCCAAACTCTGTAGGAGTTTGTCTGTACTGGATGTATATGGGACATACAACCACGATATGTATAGGACTAATACTAATAGACTGAGTTCGAAATAAATTCTGATATCTCCGGACTACCACGAAAAATTAATTACATTATTTAAAGATATCATAGTACTCAACAGAGTATAATTAACATGGTTATCCAGACATTGGCAGTTGTATTTTATCTAGGACAAACAGGGTTCATTTGCTATTGAATATTTTGTATTCTTTAAAATTTGGAATTATTGGCTTATTTATTTTGATTTTCTCTGTAACAACTTATTTTATTATTATGTACTGTTACTGATTATTACGAATTTGTAAATCAGTATTTAAATGAGTCGCTAATGACCATAGGGCGACCACAAATATGTTTTGAAAAACTGAATGCTTAATAAGAAGTAACGCTTGTCGGCAAATTCTTCATTTTATAAGAATCAAGAAAACAAATTTCCACATGATGTAGTAAACATAATTATAATACTTTTGAAGTCTTGTACGTTTTCAACACAAAATGGCTATTTTAACAAAATGAAACTGTTTTACTTGTTTAAGACTGATTATCAATAAAATATAAGTTCGTTTTCAATAAAAATAAAGATACTAGGTATTGTTTTTGAAGCGTCTAAATTTTTAGTACATTGTCATTTCGTCATTATCGCCACTATCACTATTCAGGAAGATAGAATTCATTACATTATCAAACAAAGAATATCGTTTTGCAACATAAAATTGCATCCATTCTTTTTTATTTCTAAAAAACAACTTTTAATACTCCATATTCTGAACAAAACCTTTTAATCTTCAGAAGCCTTTATGGAGAATGACAACTTTTTATTACGAGATATGTATCAATGTAAAGAACTTGAAACAACAAGAAATGAACTCATTAAGAAAATCACGAGTTCATTGATAGGAAAATATAAATTTTATTGACATTTCTCATTAAAATGGTTATATTTAGAAGTGAATGGTTACAAGGTTAATTAATATTTTTAACTGAAATAAATGCCACAAATATTTGTTACTTTTCATGACACAGTGTGTGTAATAGCTTTGACAAAACGCAATCCTCAGAAGTGATATACAGTTTCCAAAATTTCTTAATACTTCACTCGTTCTTTCTTAGGTACTCGTTAAAAAACTGACATGAAATGCAGAATTAGATCTGTTTGATTTGATTGCCTTAAGAAGGAATGAAGACATTCCCAAAAGAGAGAGAATAATGTATTCAATCTCTCCTCTCCCCCCTCTCTCTCTCTTTCTGTGAATTTATCCACTAGCAATTTTACGATCCATGATTCTCTCCCGTTCATAACTCATTCTTAACGCTATTTCGAAAATTAGCATTTAAATGACCTTTCTCATAAATTATTTCCATTTGGCAGGTATACGTTGCTTTACTCCCTTTGTAAGTGAACATGTGCTTCATACGTACCTTCTTTACCAGAGAGCGACCAACAAAACTGTGTTAAAGTAACTAAATTTACAATAAACTATTATGCGTATTACACAATTATAATATTAATTAGTTAGTTAAAAATTAAACTGTTCAATTTAGGAATAGCAATAATAATAATAATAATAATAATAATAATAATAATAATAATAATAATAATAAGAAGAAGAAGAAGAAGAAGAAGAAGAAGAAGAAGAAGAAGAAGAAGAAGAAGGACAAACGGAATATGGAATGAAAAAGTCGAGCAACGAGAAGTAAGTTTACGATACCGTTATACATTTCAATACTTTGCCCCAACACGACTCTTTAACTTAATTACATTAAAATGACAACATTGTAATTGTTTCATCACTTAAAGATTTAACACTCTATATAACAGAATATTCCGAGGAATACCAATTTAAAATGTCAGCATCATATTCCTTGGATACCAACGCCTATTGCCGACACCTTAAAGAACGTTCAGGATCTCACTTTACATGTGCTTGTATTTTTATAATATTTTTAATCTATATCATTACCAAAGACATCTTACTATAATCGTTAGTGAGGACAAAAAAAATTAAGTTTTTTGTATGAAATGTTGCGTAAAGTATAAATGGTGAGGACGAGAAACCTTTTTCTTCTGTACAAGCGTATCGTTTGCCAGTCTTATTTAAGATTATTCAAACCGTCAGCCCTTGAATGATTATTAAATCAGAATTTATTAATTTAGTAATTATGGAAAGATGAGTTGGTTTATAAAAATTAGACTTTAATTTTGTTGTAACTTTAATTATGTTGTAAAAGATACAACGCCAGCTCTGTAAGAACATAATTAATTAAAAATACGACCTACTTCCGCCGCTGTTGAGAACTTCGTGTTTTGTATTCATGTTCTGAGATATTTTAGCACAAAAACAAACAAAGCAGTGAACATTAAAGTAATAATTTTTTACAAAAAGAATAACCTGGAATTTAAAAATACAATTGTCGGAAAAATTAAGAAACATTATGAGAAAGATATGAGCAGCAAATGTAAACGAGGAAGAACAAACGTTACTGCAAGTATTTTCCAGTACAACAAACCTAGTACAAAACCGTGAAAACATTTAAATTTCTTTAATAAATGCACCTTGCTAGTATAGGTATGTGACTGATCAAAAAATATGATTAATCTTGAGTAGCTAGCACCTTATCTGTAATTAGAAGCCTTAAGGTCACAGAAACAAAATAATGCTTCCACAAAAAGTTTCAGAGGATCTTCTCATACGGATGGGCCCGATTGAATCGCAGCATATCCTTTAAATTTTCGGGTAATTGGGTACAATGTAAAAGGGATCATGCTGCATTAAAGATTCAAAGATTTTCTTCATTTAAATAAACACAGAATTTTTATCATTAAAAGTTAAGAACAGTGAAACGCCCTCCTTATTTGCGCATTTACATGGTTGCGCTGCTGAAGGCATAAAATAACGAAATGACTTTGCTTCTCTCCCCGCGCCTCAGGCTCAGATTCTGACTAAAACAGTAAGCAAAATATTACTGTTTCCCTTCCCCATAATAAAACGAGCGTTGAGGAAAAAGAGTACTTGATTAAAAGTTTCTCCTAACACGTAAGATTCGGGGAATAGTGCGTTCAATGTCTGCTCATCTAGAGTATGCAAAGCTGGAGGTAGTAAATGTCCAAATTATTCAGCCGTAATCTTTCCTGGTGGAGTGAGATAAATCGAGAGGAGAAGGACAAACTTTAGGGCATGGAAGATGAGAAAATATCACATCGCATAGCGTGAGAAGCGAGAAAGAAACTGTAGTGAGCAGAAGAATGCGCAATTACGCTGCATGACGTTAAAGAACGGAAGGAAGAGAAAGTGAAAACGAAAAGAAGCGGCGAAAGAGAAGTTGCGGAAGACGGTCTCTAATGATGAGATGTGGAGGTGAGAGGGTTTTGAGGTTGAGGGGGGGGGGGCAATGCACTTACCCGACACGAGCCTCCTCCTCGTTTCTCCTTCCACCAGCGAGTCTTCAGGATGTGCAGCTTCCCCTCCTCCTGCAGTTTCAAGATGGCGCCACTGATGGCCGTGCGGTACGGAGAGTCTGTGGGCACGCAAGATAACCATGTTTCACTCAGTGAAAGGCCTGTGGACGATAGAGCGCCGGCAAAGGAACGGACTTGCTTTATCGGCAGAAAAGACTTTCTGAGCCAGCAGTTTCCACAAAAAAAGAGAACAATTTTGTTTTCGTAAAAAGGAACTGATAGTAACGTAAGAAATATTGTCTTTTGTTTTATTTTAAAAAAGTTCACATCCACTTTCTTTAATTTAAAAATGTATTTTTTTAAAATAAGTAGTATGTTTGACATTCTGTTAAAAAATGACTATTTATTTTACTGATGTTAATACTTTCTTTGGTATTTTTCACAAAACATTTCAAAAAACAAATGAATTAATTTATCTTTTACAGACCTAAAATAAAACATTTGTTGTGAAATTGTATATGCAAAGAATAATAACCTTAAGATTCTTAATTATTTGTATACTCAAATTATTGGCGCAACAAGTTTTAATTTGATTATGGAAAATATGATTAAATACTATATGAATAGCTATGTTAAATAACTTAAGAACGTAATAATTTATTTTGGTTTACCGCTTTATTGATTACATTTTTTCATTTATTGTTACTCTTTAAATGAAAGGAAATACGTAAAGAGTTTTATTTAATGGGAAATGTTTAATTAAAAGGAAAGCATGAAAAGTACGAAACGAAACTGATATTTGGTAGCAGCCAGTAATCCTGAATAAAAAGTCAACCAACAAAAATGCATTACCACAAGAAAAGGACAAAGGCAACGTAAATCGATTAAAAACGAAAAGTCATATTACTTGAGCAACCGAAAATCCATTAAAGAAATGAATAAAAAAGGAACAATTCAAGCAGTGTTTGCTGGAGAGCGATACAGCCACACTTTAAAATGCCTTAAATAGAAACGTAAGAATTTAATATTGACGTAACTACACCAAAAATAATGAACAAATCCATTACTCATATGGTAATGAAAAGTATTGTATAAGTATGTACTCCGTGTAACAATATGTTTCTAAACGTTAATATTCTGCGTAATGGAAATTGATTTTTGTCAGTTTCTCGCAAGTGAATGCGTAAATGGTTGGTTGGGGAGAGCCTAATAGAGTCTTTCGGGTCAGATTTGCATTGCACTTCCTTTCTACGCCACTAGAACACTCGTATCAGATGATCATAGTAGATGCTACCTAAGAGCTCAACATGTAGTATTCTACCTCTTCAAGAATTTTTATTCAAATCTCAAACCGATCTATCAACATTCAAAAAGAAACAAACAATTGCGTAACACAACGCAGAATACGAATTAAAAATATATATTCTGGACCTACGTGCATACCTAAATATTTCCAGCAATTAAGAATAGGCCAATGAATTCCTTCCTTGAATTCCTTCCTCAAATATAGTACACTTCTAGCTACAGGCTATGCCACATTACATTAGAAATGCAGATGCAATGTGTAGTTACGTTTTATTCGAATGTTTTAATTTCACCCATAATACATTTTTTTCAAAAATCCCTACTTACGGCAGGCAAAATGTCTTTCGCACGCGCCAATACTTATACTTAAATAGCTTTTCTTTTTCCCTCTCAAAAACCTCCATTTTGGAGCGTATCATTTTGTTCCCCCTCCCCAAACCGCTCAAACGTCATCTCGCTGAGTTTAGTTCAGCTGACTCTGCAGCGATTTTAACCGGGATTGCCTAGGGTTCGACTCCCAATGGAGGCAGCTTTTCGGTGCCTGCTACATAGCGAGGTCGAATTCAGTTGCTGACCGGGGGAGAATTCTAGTGACCGATTACTCTGATCGGTGGTTTTGCAAGGTTTCTCCGATCAAGACCAGGCGAATGCCACATAAATACTCTAACGAACGGGCCATGAACCGTACGCGATGTTTCTTTCCTCTTCCTTGACCTATCCTCCTCTTTTCACACACACTCTATCATACACTACACTATGACAATTTTGGGGAGCCAGTCAAAAGCTTGAATTTTATTCCTGACTACGTAGGTGCCCCACTGGGGTAAATAATTGCAGGGGGGGGGAAATTTCCCGCAAGCTGATGTGTATGTCCGCGCAGGATTTAACCATCCAGCGATTTAACCAACACCGCTACCTCCTGTCATAACACATTCACTGTACTAATGGGACTAATGACCGTAACTGTTGACGCGTCTGGAAGAACTAATCAATTAATCATCCAATTAAACAATCAATTACCGATCGATTAATCAACCAATTAATCAATCAATTATCGATCGATTAATCAACCAATTAATAAATCAATGAATCAAACGAGGCGCTAAGGGAGGGCATACTCACTGGGGGGCATGGCGATGCCGTAGCCCTTGGAGTCGAGGAGGCCGCCGACCATGGTGAGCTCGCAGTTTCGCTCGATGACGTACTCGATGGAGGTGGACTCCATGAGGAAGGCGTAGCCGCCCTTGCCCTTCACCACCCGCTCCACGCCCTCCACGTTGGAGCCCGTGAACACGCTGGGCCGCGCCGACTCCATGAACGACCACATGCGCTGGTACGTCGAGAAGTTGGAGTCCTGAAACGCAGACGTTAGCCTTGAAAACACCCATACGATTGGCGACCAAACCTTTAAAGGTGTGCGAAAACTGTGCATTTTGGACTTAGAGCAAACATATTTGTCATCTAAATAGCTATCTTCTACACTATAAAACATTTACAGTCAATTGAATATTCTGAATTTTTTATTAAATTCTCTCGTACTTTCACAAAACAACCCATCATTTATAATTTCCTTTGACTGGATTTTAAAGAATATGTCAAATGCAATATTTTTTAAACAACATGTCTTATCAGTAATAAATTAAAATGCTTATTTTCCTTACGCTCTCAAACCTTTATTGAAGTTGGAGTTAAAATTAGTACTAGTATTTCAAATAAGTGAAATAATAGTTCGCAGAAATATATTCAAAACGTTGTCACTATCTTTTAATAGTTTTTCTGCTTTAATCTTCTTTATCCAACAAGTTCAATATCACTAAACACGAGCCATCAGTGACCGCATAATTCAAAATTCGCAGTCTGTTCAAGCTGTCACTCTTAAATATCACTGACGGCTGATGCATTCTGAATCATCACGAGAGATAAAATGTGTGCATAAATAGAAGAATAGAAAAGAAAATGTGAGTGAACACGTTAACCTTATGTAACTAGCAGAAAATATATGCACTACAGAAGCAAGTATTCGAATTCCCGTACTCAAAAATAAAAGTGATCGCACGTGCCACTTTTAGTTATGTCCATTTCGATAATTTAGTAGAAAATATTTTTACATTAAATAAAAACTTAAGAAATGTAATAAAATACTTCCAGCACTTCCATTTTCAAATGGTAGCAATCTAGTGGTTCATTGCGAACTCGTTGGAAGTGCGCAAATGTGTTTTCTTCTTGAAAGTTCACGTTGAGTTCGCAGTGGTATTGCGCTCGTCTTCGTCTAATAAAGAGAAATGAAAACTACTGAATCATAGCAGCATAAAAATGTCAGTTTCTGCACGTGACTGAGTAAAATTGCAGATTCAAGAGGAGTGGAAAGCTTCATTATGCTATATGTTTGAAATAAAATGGTGTGAAGCAAAATGGTGATACAAAACACCGGGCATTTTTGTTTCATAAATGGATTTTTCTTGTTAAAGACGAATTTTAAAGAGAATGAGTCAGTGTAAAAATGTCGTTCCATTTCAAAATTGCTAAATATTTTTGTTCTGTTAAAATAAAACATAGTTTTTCAAAAATTGTAAAAGCAAGATCAATGTTCTGGGAATTGTCACAGGACAATATTTCGATTTCATTATCATTTTCATATGTAATGGATAAAAAATACACGTTTAAGGTTTCAATGAAAGTTAAATAATTAAAATAATTTCTCAAATGAAACATTTTACTTCTCGACATGTTCTTTTTAAATATTACAGAATCGACCCTCAGAGAGGATTGTTTGCTAACATAATACATTTTCTTCACTTTCAAAGAGTATTATTATAACTTTGTTCATGAAGAAGCACTCTCTTTTGTAAGGGGAGAGAAGATTTAGGCCGTGTAAAGCAGCTTTAGCTTTAACGAACAAAAATGAAAATTCTGAAATACGGCTTCAGAGAACCCTCAAGGGAAGAGCAGCTAAAAGAAGTGATTGGATCTTCGTTCAAAGAGAGATGAAACCCTTCTCCTTTTAGGATAACTTTATATTTCCTTGTTAAATTACATAACAATACGTAATATCTTCATATTAATTTTTTTTACAAAACGATGTGGAGGCGTACCTTCCTCGAGCTTTATAATCTCTTTGGAAATTTTCTGAGACGAAATGCAAAACTCCTAAGGATCATGAAAGACTAATTGTTTATCAAACATTTTCAGAGCCTCTGCGTTGGAGAAAATTTTCTTCCAAATATAATCTGTAAACTTAACGACTCAAGATGCCTCCATAGAGCTTTAACGTCACATACAACTGAAAGTTATTATTTCTTGATCACTTAATGTAGGTAAGAACTGAACTCACACAACCACTATATACCTTACAAATAACAAAAAATATTTTAAAACATTTAAAAAGCGAATTTATTGTAATGTGAAAGTACTAAAAGTATTTCTCTTATTACTTGCTCTTCTTAAATAACCAACCAAATATTAAATGCATTAAGAAACCACCATAGATAATATTCCTCCCAAAACTGTTAAGTTGTTCATAAAGCGATGACTCTAGAAACAGAACATTTAATCAAAAGGTTAGAATATCAGTCACATACTCAATCATGCCTCAATTTAATTCAAATACACATTTTAGTTCTGTTAACAATTTTCTAAAAAAATTACACCTGAGGAACTGATTCATTTCTATTTAATCAATTTTAATTATTTCATTGTTGTTGTATCAAAATGGGTCTCAGGATACTATATGACTCTATATTTGCTTGTTCTGTCATTCAATCTTTTTTCAGAGATTTCAAACAAAGGTTATATATTTATTTTATTTTATTTACTTCGAAGATGTAAGAGAAATAATTATTACTGAAAGCAGTGTTGTTGTTCTTGAGAAAGCAACTCTAAGTTTTTGAGACTTTTTCCCTTGCCTGGCCACAAAATGACGCGAAAGGCTTTGACAATATGAAGTATGTCCCGTAGCTTTAATGCCAAAACTTTCACTATTAATATCCATGCCTCCAAATATAACCAGGGGCCACACATAGATTTCATGGGACCCTAGACCAATTTGTATGAGTCTCCCGCCCAATTTTCTCAACCCACAGCACTTTTTCGAGAAAGAAAACGGATAGTGAGAGTGAAAGAGAGAGAGAGAGAGAGAGAGAGAGAGAGAAAGAAAGGGAGGGAGTGTGAAAGAGGGACAAAGAGAGAGCGAGAGTGAGAAAGAGAGGGAGAGAGAGAGCGAGAGAAAGCGAGAGAGAGCAAGAGAAAGGGTTAGCGAGCGAGAGATTGAGATAAAGTACGCAAGAGGGAGTGAGATCGAAAGAGAGAGTGAGAGCGAGATCGATACAGTGAGAGAGAGCGAGAGAGAGTGAGAGTGAGGTATTTCTTTCCTTGAAAGCCCGGGGTCTCCGATATTTGTCGGGGTTGTCTCTCCTAAAGAGCGGCCCTTCTCCTTCGTTTCTCTCAGAACTGCTCAGTTTCTGCCGCCCCGCCTGACTCCGCGTCCTCGGTGCACTCACCCTGAAAAACGCCGCGGTCGACCCTCCGCGGAGGGCTCCGTACTTGATCTTGGTCTGCTTGGCCAGGTCCTCGGCGCTCTCAATGGGCGAATCCATGCGCTCCACCGTGAGGAAGGCGGCCAGGTTGGCGGTGTACGAGGAGATCATGATGAGCGTGAAGAACCACCACATGCCGGCCACCATGCGCGTCGACACGGCCCTGCGCACAGCGGACGTTGCGCTCACAGCAGCAGGCGCGGGTGGCGCGGGTGCTGGGTGCTGGGTGAGGGCGCTGGGTGAGGTGGGACTGGGCAGGGGCAGATGTGGGATGGGATGGTGCGGTGAGAGGTAGAGAGGGATGGTCAGAGCGGGGAGGGCGGGTTGCGTTGGGACGAAATGGAACGGGTCGGGAGAAAGCGGTACGGGGAGGAACGGGAATGGGTGGAGAGGGGCGGGCAGGGCGGGCGTAGACAAGACGCAGCCGGGTAGAGAAAGCGCTCGTCGGAAGTACTAAGGGCACAGCCGGGGAAATACAATGCTCACGAAGAGAATAGACCTTAGGCGGCTTCACACTTTCGGCATTTGGCAAATAGCGAGCGACTGCTCGCCCATTCCGCGTAGCTCAGCGAATGTTCACTTCCTTTGATGAGTCCAAAAGATCAACGCACTGCGCATAGAACGGGCTCTGAATGTTTGGCGCTCGGCAGAGAGCACACAACTCCTCCCCACTGCTAATCGAGCGGTGTGTGAGGCCGCCTTCAGGTGGGTCGGTGGCCCATTGCTATCGTTTTACTATGTCTAAGTGTGCAAAAGAAGAAAAAACGAAACAAATTGGGTTAAGGGATAGAAACTATGTAAATGGAAGTCGAGAAAGCATGGAAGTATGGAAAGGCGATGAACATTTTAAGAGAAAGATTCGATGAAACTTCTCTGAGAAGAGATGAAATAACTTGACATCCAGATTAATTTAGAGATATAGGTAAATTTGTTTAATATATTTAAATTACAAAAAAGCACAGGTAATTTCACTTAATTTTGAAGGTTCACGGTTTGCTGCTTTGAATCTACTGGTTGAAATTCGCGACAGATATCTTGAAAATGCATGAATGTAATAGAAAAAATCTGGTCCTACGAGGGTTCAGGTAAAAGTAATAAGAAACGAACCCACAATGCAGAAATGTAGTGGGGTGTAAATTGTGGGGAATAATTGGGGATAGGTAGGAATCGACATCAGAAAATGTGAGGGAGATCGGTCAATAGTACGTGGACAGTCAGATGTCTTGTAGGACGCGGGAATTCGGTGAGGCGGGGGTTAGAAGCACGTGACGGCGAGCTCAGCACAAAGAGCGAGCGGAACGGGAGCCCGCGCCGAATGCCAAGACGAGGCAGGCGAGGCGAGAGGAGCAAGGCGGAGCGCAGCAACGCTTGCCGAGCAACAGGATGAGGAGGGCGATCTCCAAGGCAACCAACCGTACTGCCCCCCCCCGCCACTCCCTCGCCCAACTGCTCGCGCCCGCGTGCCGGCTGCTGCCCTGCTCGGCCGCCGACAGCGCCTCCCGGCGCCCACCGTCCTCGCCGCCCCCGCTGCACAGCTCCGCTGTCCCCGCCGACGCTGCGCCGGTCCGCCCTGCCCTCGCGCCGGAACCAAGCCCTGCCCGTCGCCCCGCCGCACTCTGTCGTCCACGCCGTCCACACTGCCTCGGGTATCTTCCAAGGCAACCAGCAGTAACTCGCCCCGTTCGCCGCATCACGCCACTACCTTTTCCTCAATCTGCTCCGCTGGCCTGAATGCCCATCTCCTTCCCACCTCTAGGCGACCCGCCTCCGCCGCGCCCGCCGACCCGCTCTTCGCCTTCTTGCTGCACCCGCCTTCCCCGCTTTCACCCTCTGACCCCGCTGCCCCCTCTCCCCTATCCCAGACTTCACCCCCGCTGCCCAACCCCGCATTTCCATGCCGCCCGTCATCCCTGCTCCTCACCGCCACCCGCCTCCTGCCTCCCGCCTCCCGCCGAACCGCCGTCATCGCAGCCCCCGCCGTATCCGTCGCCCCTGCCGCCCGCCGCCCTGGCCGGTGCCGCTGCTCGTGTTCCCGTCTCGCACGCAGAGCTCACAAACCGCGGTCTCCCCCCCCCCGCCGGAACGTCCAGTCGGAACGCCCGCAACTGCGCCCGCCTGCTGACCGCCGGCCGACGCGGCGCGGCGCGGCGCATCGAAGCCAGGCTGCGCCCCTGCGCCCGCATGCAATCGCTTCGGCGCGCCCCGCTTCCCCGCACGCACCGTTGCCGTTGACAAAGGGCGGGCGGCGCGCGTTACCGCAAAGCAACTGCTCTCAAGGGGCATTGAGCTCTCGCACCTCGAGTAATCGCTTACATCGCTACTGTCAATGTAAATTTGTTCATTTGTCAATTAACGCGTGACTCGTGATAATTGATATCTTACGTTGAATTGTTAATACATTATTGTATAATAGAATATAATAAGTCTCTGGAAAACATTTCTAAATGTTGTGAAATTTTGATTTATTCAACCTGAAAAATAACAATAACAACTATCGGTCTGAGTTTGTAAATCTCACTTTCAAGTTAGTGGAAAAAGGAAAAAATTGATATGAGGGTGAATTTGTGTTATTCAAGCTTGGGTCATTTGCTATTGGGTCTATTGCTTGGTACATTGTACAATTATCACATCTTTTCTTTAATGAGAAAATTTCTTTTCAAGTGTCATTTGCGAAGTAGTATATTTCATGTCAAACTGCATGTTATTTCTCTCATGATTTGGAAGGTCATCTGTCAAAATTTTTTTAACGGTTCACAAACGACATAACATACCCGTAAACCGATAAATTAAAAAATTGGATAAAACAATATTTTTAATTCAATAGACTTTAACTTCTATAAATATCTAAGCATTCATTTCAAAAAGTCTCTTTGAAACATATTGTCAATTTCCTAATTCTTGATCATTGGATATAAAAGTTACGTAGGGCATTTCCTCGACACATACATCTTTAATACGGTGAAAGGAATGGTCATTAACAGACAACATATTCTTTGGAGGCATGCAAAACAACAAAGGTTCAAAGAAAAAAGAAGGAAGTAGGAATTCAGAATATTCCTGAATAATCTTCTTGAATGATGTTTCAACTATCTGTTTTATGAAACTGATTAAAATTTAGTATGGTTTTATAGTATTTCTCGTCTGAACTTGAACATTAAATTTTTCGACATCTTTTCTGTTTTAAATGGCATGCATGAGCATTTATACAAATGACAATTTTGAATCGTTATTCCCTTTCGTTTGAGTGTAAAATTCACATTTCTTCATACTCATGCATTTGCTTCCAGCAAGAAGAAAAACAATTATTAACTTTTCTGAGAACTACTTTTCTGTGCAAACCAAGAAATCATGCAGTGCAAAGACCATTCAAATTGCATTCCACAAGTAAAATAAAAGTGTTATATACTCAGAACTTAGAGATGGCATGAGCCAAATAAAAAATAACAGGAATAACGGTGAAATAAGAAAGAACTTAGAACAAATAAACATACTAAAATAAAAATAGAGATAGCTGTTGCTCTCCGTCTCAGTCTAAACATTTCCCGAGTTACAAAGAATAGTATTAGTGTAGTTATGTACTATAATTAAGAATATGATTGCCTTGCCTTGCTACATGATAAGTTATTAAATTTTGAATTATTTAAATTCTCGTAATATTTTATTACGAGAGACGAAGAACATAAAACAGAACGAAAAAAATATAAAACAAATTAACATTTTAATAATACAGACTGAAAGTAGAAAAATAAATTTGCGATGTCTATTCAAAAAAGATAAAATGATTAAAATATAATAAGTTACTGTTTTCCGTCTCTGGTGAAAAAAATTCTGAACGCAAAAATAATGCTATAGAAAGCGGATTAAAAAAATATTGCCTTGTCTTTCTACTTGATATGAAGTAATTACATTATGCATTAGTTAGTCCAGCTCACATAATAATTTTATTTCGAGAGACGAAGAACAGTGAACAAAATGAAATAAAGTACATAAAAGTAAAACGTTAAATGAAATCGGAATAATACAGACCGGAAATTGCGAAACCGAGTCACGAGGTCTGCATATGAAACAAAAGAGGGATGAACGTAAAATGCTCGAAAGGACCTATTGTGATCGCGGTCCCCACGGGGCGGGCAGACAAGGCTTTGGGAGGGCTTACTTCGGCGCTATATCCGAGCCCTGCTGCATCAGGCTACCGATCGTGAACCACAGCGAGTTCAACAGACTGAACTGGTTCTCCAGAACGTCGGGCTCATCGTTACATGGGTGGGGGTTGTCCCACTCGTAGGGACTGAACCTGCGGACAGAGAGCGCGGATGGGGCCGCTTACTTGGGCAGGAAGTCGCAGCCCTGCTGCATGAGCGAGCCGATGGCGAACCACATGCAGTTGAGCAGCGTGAACTGGTTCTCCAGGTGGTCCGGGTCCGGGTTGCAGGGGTGCGGGTTCTGCCACTCGTACGGGGTGAACCTGAAACAGTCCGCTGCCTGTGCTGTGAGGTGGTTGCGGACCCCGCGCTGCGGCCGAAGCAGTCTGCAGATGGATGCCAAGGAGGATGCTGCAAAACGCTCGAAGCGTTTGGAATAAACTATTATTATTTACATTTTCAATTAATTGTGTATATGTTACTGGATACAAATTGAGTAGTGAATGTCTTCTTTTTTAGTTTCTAGTCTCAAATTAGACTACAAGAGTTGAGACCACCTTTCGCGACGAAATGGATGAGAAAGAGTCTGCTTAAGAACATACAATGAAATGAGGTATTTTAATAATATTATGCAAGCTAGCTACTTTCCCTACTTTTCATTCTATAAATGTTACGTGCAACACCCCATTACCAGTTCATAAAGATAAGTGTTTCCTTTCCAGCGGCAACTGAAAAACAATAAAAATTAGTTTAACTAAACCTATTAACAAGCGAAAATGTAATGTGGAAGAGATTTGTTCAGAGTTAATCATTACATCACTTCACTCCTTCCGTTTTAGATGTATACAAAACCGACATATCCTACGAATGAGTTCGGTAAACATTCACAGTAGATGATAAAATAATGTCATCATATAATCATTACTATTACCTTCATTATTATTATAAACATTATATTGTACTATTTAAAATAAAATATTGTATATTATTTAAAACAATATCTTGTATGCCTTCTGGGTATTACGTGTGACACAGGACCACAATATGTACTGAAATGAGTCGAAACACTTACATCTACAAATTTTCAATCCTCCCCTCCACGTACTATACAACAAATTATTCTCCACTCCCATTCACGTCACGTCAAACTTGAAGTCCCAAACGACCGGGAGTTATTGCTCAGTTGTTCGGCGGACTCTACGAACAGAGATTATCCTCGAAATAACGAAGCCCAACCGAAGCGCAGATATAGCTTCGCGCCGCGTCCAACAACGAATCCCAAGCGCGACTCGATTCTGCGAAGCGGCTCCCGCGAGCGGAACAAAGCTCCACGCAGGTGGCCTGCAGGGCAAAGGCGCGCGGACTTCGAGTTGTTGAGATGTTGCGTAACGATTTCCGTTTCCGCTTCGGAAAAGGAATGCGCGCCGCGCCGCGCCGCGTCTGTTCGCTCGGGCCCGAGTGGAATGCGAACGCTCGCGACGCCAAGTGCGAGGCTCGCGAGATTCGGATCTGATCCGCTGTTCGGAAGACGCGATTCTTTTCGTTTGGGTTGGATCACGGCGTCGTGACGTTCCTTCTCGGTACGTATAGCTTTGCTGAAAGACTAGAGGGTTTTAGTGGAACAGACGTTTTCGAAGATTCTGCGACAAACACAGGGGTGCACCGGTGCAGGGACACAACGGAACGCCGTTTCCGTACCTGATTTTTACCGGACTGTTGTATTTAATTTTGGGAGTTTGCGGTCTGCTATAGGGGGCTGCCCAGGCGGCGGCCCACTTGGTGTGTCCCGGGCTAGCTCTTATCTACGGACAACTAATGTATCCTGCCGCTTTTGGTGTCAGTGCATGTCCAGACAAGAGAAGGAACAGGTAGAAGTGGCGCTGCTCTCATTGTTGATAGAGGGGAAAGGAGAATTAAAGGAGTTGTGAAAGAGGAGAGGCACGCGGGACACTGCAGTTTGGCCCAAAATCATACATTTGAGGATCCCTTTTCTATAACATACAACAAAATATTCCGGTAGTGAAGAACTTATGAGCCAGCCCGTACATCATGCAATCACTATCACGGATACAAAAGTATGTTGCCGTTCGTAACGTCTTTTAGCAAAGCAATGCTCGGCAAGTGTACCAGTCAGTGTATCCATAACCTAGATTGAAATAATTATTTTTTTTTAAATCTTTACAAAGTTCTATCTTGCATTTTTTGGATTTCCAAAAAACAGTTTTGTCATATGATTTCTTCCAGTAATTCCGTCCTGCATACTCACTCCCTCCCCACTGCCATTTCAAAACAAATCAAAAGTAGATGCAGTGGTCTGGAAATCGGATACTACAATAGTGTTAGTTGACTTTAATGACGGAATACCTGTTCGTATTAAATGCAGATAGTTCCAACTGGATTTTTGCTACGTAGTTAAAGAGATGTCTGGACTGGAATCTGATCCGGAATCTATCGTGAAAAATTCTTGGTAACCAGATGCAAACAAATAAGTATATACATATTTATATTGTTTTTACTGAATAAAATCCACGTTACGGCAGTTATGTAAAGTAATGAAAACGTAAAAATGAATATAATTTGACGATTATATTATTCCTGTTATAATCGCGCATACAAAAACACTTCCATCATTTCTTTCTTCACAACATTCACATAGTCGTGAATTCCATTTATAACTTCATTGAATAAAAATCGAATACTACTTACGACTAGGAACAAATATCAGAAAAAACATATTATTAGAACAATTTCAATACTTCAATGTGTCTCATTTTAATGAAAACTGGGAAGAGACAGTTACCAAGCGTAATACATCGACATTTTAATTACGTGTTGATTACTTGAATTTCATACAATATGGAAAAACAACATAAAATATTGTTTCTTGCGTTTACATAAGTTAATGCTAGCAATAAAATTTAGAAAATTTTCTGCAAAGAAAACGATTATTAATCCCAATTAAAAACGAACATCGTTTCAATAAGTAAAATTAAGCCGCAGAACATTACTTGAATGCTCTCATAATGCGAAACGTAAAATATTTTCCGTAATTCAAATTATACAAAAAATTCCTATTACCAATTAAGGGATAATGAGCTTCATGCACTTTTAGGGGGTATTATATTATTGTCATTACCAGATTTTCAGCAAAATACTTCTAGTTCAGATTTAATACCTATAATCTTTACACCATACCCAAGGACTCTATTGAAACAGATGTTCATACATTCATGAGGTAGACCATTTTGTTAATTTGCGACCATGCAGTAAAATATGATTCAGAACACGTAATAGATCGATGCAAATTGCGACAGAAATCTGAGGGGAAAAATAAATGTTCTAGTTATCAAAGTTCGAGATTTAGAGAATTGATGATGACTGGCGCTCGCTTACAGTTACAAACTGTTATAACTAACAGATAAAATTTTAATGTTAACTTTTGGGACCCTATGAGAGTATCGACTTTCTACTCGAAGTTCTCATAGAACGTCAGGAAATGCATTTACTATTTTGATGGACGTTTTCCTGGGAATGTGAACATTTGTATTTCGGTGTGTTTTCCCTTCATTTGAATTCCGAAGCATACGAAAAAATGGACAAAAAGCGACTTGCCAAAACAAATAGAAACGTTCACGCACGTTTTTCATCTCCAGCAAGTAGTTTAAAATAAGCTTGGGACTTTCTCTCATGCTCCAATCACTTAATGTCCGTCTCTACTGCGATAAAACAGGTTTTTTTAAGTTGTTGCATCTTTTTCGACGTAACGCGACTCCAAAGCCTTTTGTGGCATTGAACGCTTAAAGAAGGAGTACTCCTCCATTAAGGTTTGTATTTTTGTCAAGTGTCGTCACGTCACAGTCTGTCAGTGCCTTTTATCCCGTCCAACAGGGACTCGGCGTCGTCAGTAACTGATGTTGCTAGTCAATCACCCGCGGAGTCTCGAATTGCGTAACTTCCGTTTCTTCGCGTAGCGTAATTAAGCAACGAGTCTAGTGACGCCGGCTAACGTAGATAAACAACGTTTATACAAAATGATATTTTAATGTTATTTCCCAACTTTTTGTGGCCAATAAATCATCGCGAGTGTTGGGTATACCAGGTTGCACAAACGGTTTTTCTTATTGGTAGCATTCCAGGACGTTCATGGATATAAAGAAATTTGAAATATTTTTGGTGAACATAAACACTGTGCGCTTCAGAACGTTTCAAAAAAAAAAACAAAAAAAAAACGTGCGTCGACACTTCGGTGAAGTTAAACAAAACAGTTCGCGACATCAAAGTTCAAACTGTCAGAGATCTACATCTTAACTGATCATCAATATTGTATTTGATCTAATCAGTTTGAAAGAAAATGTTACATCTTCAATTTAACTTTGAAATAAACAAAAGAATTTCATTGCCGAAACAAAAGACTTTACATTTTATATTTGATAAGGAAGAATATATACGTAGATATTTTCTAATTTATGTAGATGTGTGTTTTCTTTATTTAATTCTTTTCGAATACAAATATATTTCCAATAACGCAATGTGCAAGTTTTAATTCCGTTCACATTTTATCGTTAGCGTCTTCGTCCAAATTATTGTCAATTTAATAACTCCAAATGAGCATGTGGTTAATAGTTGTAATAGGAATCACTTAAATAGAAATAATACTCAATAGGAGAAAGATAAACCTCAATCATTATCTTAAGTACGAGTACGTAAAAAAATATTTTTAAATCGGCAAGTAGGAGTTTATTGCATAAAAGTAAAGTACTTAAAATATTAACATTTGATTTCAAATACAACTCGTATATAATAAAAAAAACAACTATTACACTCACTCTAGTTTATGTGCTACACTCACCGTGCTAAAATGAAGAGAAGAACGGAGACGCCCAGGTAAGCGGTTGCCATGTATATCCAAACGTCCAGTGACAGAGGGGAGAGGAACGAAAACAAGTTGGGAGGTTGCTTGATTGGTTTTCGGTACAAAATGCTGATTCCTGCACAAACAATCATCAATCAAAAAGTAATTTCCTTGAGATAGTAAAAAACATTGTTATTTTTGTACGGACTAGGGTGATATAAGTCATGAATTTAATTTTCTCCATCTCCTCCTCATTCTTTTTAAAATAAAAAATGCGCATATTAGTACATTTTCAGAGCAATTTAAGAATGATTATTCATGCCACCAAGCACTAAAATGTTTGAGAAATTTTAAATTTTTATTTGTCATAGAAAAGAAAAATGTAAAGATAACCGCTTAGAACTGTACTAGAAAACATTACCGTTAGCGTCAATCGAAATTTATTTAAAAGGACATAACATTTTTGTTGTAAAAAATTGACCGCAAAATTAACACTGTACGGCGTTAATATTAAATTTGCCTTGCACCAAGTATATGTACAATATAGACCCATCAGAACCCTTTTTTATTAAAAAAAATATTAGTAATACGTGAAGAAATACTCAATTATATTCGATGGTGAACTCTTAATTCATATCAACATAATTATGTTTTACAATATTTATTTCACATTTTAAATATAATGAAAGTATGTAACGAAAACATGAAATTTTTCCTGAATGTGTGTGATATCGATGTGACCCTAGAACAGATTAAAAATAATGAAATTGTTCTAAAGAACAATAAAATACCATTTAGACAATATCAATAATAAACCTAGAAACATGTGAGAGTTAGACAAACTAGAAATATAATTTGTTAATAAAATATGTTATATATGATATGTATATTTAATAATAATATATGTTAAATGAGTTACAGATATAAAAAGCATTAAAGATAAAACATTCATTTCTACATTTCATTTAGGCTTATAAGCAACATTTGTACCAACTACAGAACCCATCTCAGATGATCCCCTTTAAAAAGAAGCATTTTTGCCTTTTTCGATATAATATGTTTGTTATTTTGTCTAAAAGTTATTTATTTGTTCTTTAAAGCGATTTCATTAATCAATGTCTACTAGGGTCACATCGATATCACACATATTCAGGCCAGATACGGCGTTTTCAATACCCTTGTCTCATTACATTTAAAATATTAAAAAAAGAGGATAAACGTTTTCATAAAAATTACACAAATTAGTGTAGTGTAACTTTTGTGTTTTTTAACTTTTTAAGAAACAAAGATTGTAAAAGATAAAAAATGGGTGAAAATTCTCACTAATTAAATTTTCGACATTTCTCAAATTACATTGCACTGAACAATGTTTTCCAAAATAATGCAAGGTGAATGGCAAAAAATGAATTTACAATAGAGTAAATGCATTAAGTCGTCAAATTATTTGTAAATTATAATTCAGAAATATAAAACTCTCTTACATTTTAACGTAAATACTCACCGAGGTTCATAAAGGGCATGGTGAAATCAACTGCTTGTTCACGATCATATGTAATGGTGAGGTCAGCAATAGCCAAGTCCGCTTTCTGCGAAAGTAGAGTTGTCTCGTTAGTAAACAGTAAATTGTAATGTACCAGGAACTAAACGATATTAATTAATTTGGCAAACTTTCCTTCATAACGTTAGATTGATGTATCGTCCGATATGATGAAATGATAATTCCGCAATGATAGGTTATATATCCATTATTCTCTGAAGTATTTTGATCTAAAAGTATGTTCTTGCAATTGTTTATGATATACCGATGAATATAATAGACAGGTCACGAAATTCCAATAAAATACCAACACATCATATTTCTGGCAACGGATAAATTTAAATTAGTTGGAACTGTTGTATCATTTTATTTTGAATGTTAGCAATGAAATGGTAATATTTTGAGTTGGAAAACAACTAATCGGAATTGGCAAGCTCGAGCAGTCGTGAGTTATTGCAACATACGAGCACATACTGAATAAAATAACTCTACAATGTGCGCGTATTTCGATTAACAGAAGCAATTTCAGTTTCCACATTCACAACAAATATAGTGACGTGTTCGATTATATTCTGTAATAATTTTTGAGGTAAGTCACGCAGAGGTAATGAAAAAAGGGCATATACACAAAAATGCAATTTTTTATGACATTTCCATTTTTTTTAAACACCCATATGTCATAAATATGGCATTTTAAAACAAAATATTTTATATTTCTTCAATCAGTACGAATAAAGCTAATCAAAATTTATATTTGCACTAAAATTCAAAAACGTGTTTAATCGAGTTATTTACTTTCCTTCATAAGTAATATATTTAAATATTCATCAACTGTTGGACACTACATTTTTCATGACCTAAAGTTTCTAATCAGGAAGCAACAGGTAAAGTAATAAACCGATATACTCTTCGTCTTCACAATGACACTTATTACCAATAACAATAACAAAAAATACACAAATATCATGCAAAAAAAAATACTTCTGAAATATGAAAACACCTCACTTTCTCACGCTTTGACAAGCACTTACCTGATCAAGCAACTCTTTCATCATGCCATCCCATTCGCGTGTATCCCTGTTGAGAGAGCCATAGCGGCCGTCTGGAACAAGTCGAATGGTGTAGTTGAAGCCTAGAATCTTGGAAATCTCATGGATGAGGTCGACGCTGTAGCCCTCGAACTGGGAGTTGCCCGTTAACTTCTCACTGGTGTCTTTGAACATGCAGTAAGGCGAGCTCTGCAACAAACATGGAAATTCGACAACTTAGTGTAATATCCGTAACTGCTTTTGTACTGACCTGGGAACATGTTTTGAAAATGTAATTTTAAAGATTCGTATCAGTTCGCAACATGAAGGACACAGCCAAGTGATTTCAAATGATGGATTCTCACTGGCGTGGGTACTCGAAATTGCTAAAGCAGGAGCGTTTTGGCAATCACGAATTTGGAATTTATTAGTGATTTCAAAATTAATTGTATATGAAAAACACTACAATTCGCAAGTGTCTAGGCATTTTATCGATTTTGAAAGCAAAAAGGAGTTTACCAACGACGAATTACAGGCCGATTAATCAAGAAGGCTGACCATTGTCTCCTCAGAAACTCCGACAGGGATTATCTAGAGTTCTTGTTCTGTCTGTGATGGATTTACTACTACGATACTAGCTAAGCCCCTGTCTGGAGCAGAATTCAAGCAACCGGCTGTTCTGATCTGTAATTTTCCGAGGATTCTCCGATACAAGAGAATGCCGACCAGTATACTAACAAACGGGCTACGGACCTCGCGAGATCTCTCATTTCTCTCCATTGTAGTATCATCTCCCCTAATAAATACACGCACACACAGGCACATGGAATACAGTACCACACATATCGGAAGACCAGTCAAAAACCAATAACTTGTCCCAGCTGGCAAAGTTCGGGACCTGGAACGGCGCCCGACTGGAGAAGATGCCTGAAGGGGAAATCTCCAGCAAGCTGATGTGTAAGTCGGCGCCGGATCTCTTTATCTATCGGAGAAGAAATCTCCTCTACCTCCCTTGATAAAATATTTTCTAGAATAATGGGACAAATGATCATAGCAGATGACGTGCCCGGAAACCAGTCAATCAACCAATCAATCAATAATCGAGAACCCGAAACACTAATTGTTCGTTTGTACACATTAAATAAGTTTATAAATTCTCCTCTTTAAAAACTATATTTACGAAATATTTAGGGAAGATCTTCCTTTATAGAAGGAGATACATCGTATTTTGTCACACATATTTTAATTCACGTGATGTGTAATAATAAAAGTTTAAAGTGCTTAGCATTAAATAACAAATGGTAGCTGAATTTACGGATGAAATAGTTATCGAGTTCCTCTCCCAAGTCTCTAAATAGACTGATGTGTCTGGGCACGCCGTCTGCTATGGCCAATTATCGCGTTACTGTAGAAAATATTTTAAAGCGGGAGGTGGTGGAGATTCCTTTCCCGCTGGATTTCCCTCTATGAATATGTGTGTATAGAGGGAGAGGATAGAACAATGAAGAGAAAGAGAATATCTTGTGTGATCCGTAACCCGTTTTTTAGGGAATTGCACCGGCATTCACCTGGTATTGATTGGAGAAATCATGGAAAACTACCGATCAGAGCAGCCGGCAGCTATAATTCTGCCTCAGAGAGCGGCTGAACTCAACCTAACCACGTACAAAATATTATCAAAACTCCGCCACAAACGAGATTCGAACCCTAGTACCTTCCAGTCCCTAGATAGACAGCTACTCTGCAATGCTGTCTCTGAGCTAAAAACAGTCCGTCCCTGAGGGATTTCCCCTCTACGATAATGACAAGAATGGAATTATGCAACCCGACGCACACATCTGTATTTATTCAAGACGGTTGCTGCGTCCCCTGACTTCTCAAGCAGTATGTTTGAACGTAAAGGGACCTTGAACCGCCGGGGACACGAAACAGTTTTACTCGTCCATGTTTGCGTGTGATATTGAACAGTATTCCGAAATCGCCCACCGACCTATTGTCCTTCTGAGCGTTCCACAAGGAGAACCTCGGAGGCACAGCCCTTGCCCCGCCTATTTGATGCCCGCATTTGTTTCGGGCGAGGGTGTGACGCTTCATGTGTTGTACAGAATTGTTTCCGGAAGTGGGTTATGCACATAAGGTCTTCAAGATATGCGCAACTAAAAACTTTTAAATAAAAACAGTGGCCGCATGCTTTTGTTCACGATGTTTTTTCGGATTACATCAATATTCACTTGTGTTTGAATAGGAACGAATGAAACCTCTTACAAATCCCTACAGTAATAGCCAGTAACCGCTCATTTGTTTGTATCTGCGTGTTGTTTTGAAAAGCATATCTATGGGTATTATTGTATTTAAACGCACTTTGGTAAAATCACATTGAATTTCATTGTTAAATATTAAGGTGAAGTTTAAAGAGCGAGTTTATATTTACGGAACTAAAGAGCATTTGGACGCTACCTATAAGGAAATAACGCATTGTAAAAAATGATGTCAAGAATAAAAAGAAATACTACACATAGTTTAGAAAGATTGGGATGATAAATAAAGTGGTAAGTATAATGGAAAATATTTTTTGTGGAATAAAAATGATGTTGAAATTAATACACAACAGATAAACCGTGCTTTCAATATTTTATTTCCAACCAAATTGGTATATTAAAAAAAGCGATGTTCCGTGTAAGTAGCTCATCAAAGGTAAGAAAAAAGCGCCAGTGAGAAGGCAATAACAAATGTGCTTTCTTTATTTACATATCCATCTGGTACGTTATATTCATAGTAAAGCTTGTGAGTTCTACGTGTGTAAAAGAATCAGTCGTAGTACTCATACGCTTGAAATAATAAATTATGTCAGTTGCTGTGATTAGAACTTTCGATGGATATACTTTGAAGTTGTACAAGAACCAATGAGATAGTCAAATCGAACGTTAGCTAACTTACTTTAAAAAGCGGTACATTTTAGCCTTACGAGTGGCTCATGGATAGCCTGCGAACTTTCTGTGAATCGATCCGCAGCTGGATTCCTGGTTGGGGCAAAATGAAGCTGTAGTTTTCTAATTTAAAACGTCTCAGTTTCTATAGCTATGAGACTCAGGCTCACTGGATAGAAACTTTAACGGAAGCTGAGGTAGGCCAAGAACGTTTGATAGGGTGATGCGAATTCCTCATGCTCGCCACATGTCACCCTTACCCCCAGGCGTGGGCAATAAATCAAAACACAGACCAGACCAAGAAACACAGTTAGCTGGCAAAAATGGGAGTAATCCGAAAACGCCAAGTACATACCAAGATGGTTGTAACGATGAAGGTTTTGTTCTGCAGGCTCTCCACGATCTGCGTGTACACCTCGCCGTAGGTGCGGGTGAAGTTGACACCCTCCGTGGAGTTCCAGGTGCCGATCTTCTTGAGGCCGTCGCGGCTCAGCTCCACGATGTCCAGCGCGAAGTTGGAGCGGAAGCCCTGGTTGTCGAACTTGATGACGCCCGTCAGCCCGCGCATTTCAGCCTGCGCAACAACAAGCGACACATTTACAGTACGTGTACATGTTGTATTTTCTTTGGTACGTTGAAAATTAATTAAATATCTCTAAAGATCAATCAAATACATTTTAGGCAATTAAATGAAAAACCTATAGATATATTTTTGGTGACCGAGTGCTTCTATTTTTAAAGGGGATCATCTGACGCGTGTTCTGTACTTGATGCGAATGTTGTTTATTTGCCTAAACGAAATTGAGAAATCAATCTTTTCATCTTTAAAGTTTTCTATGTTTGGAACTTTTTTAACCTACATTTCTAGTTTGCCTAAAACACATATGCTTTAGATTTATTTATAGTACTGTCTAATTGGTATTTTATTTTTATTTAGATGGATTGCATTAACTTTTAATGTGTCGTATCGACTTAAAAATTTTAATTTTAATTTGAATCGTAATCAGAAGACAAAATTTAAACGAGATACACGTATGAGTGTATTATTAATTATTAATGAATTATTAGGTGTGACCATTTTGTATAATTGATTTTATCACCATAAAATGCGATTTATATTTATTTACAATAAGTTTTAAATATTAAGTATTAAAATTATTATTGTGTCCAAAGACAAAACTAAATTCATTAATACATTTCAAAATCCTATTGTAGCCAACATTTTCTTGATAGTCAAAAACCAATGTTGTTTTTACATCTAATGATTCATTATCCACAATAAAAGGGCACAAATCTATTTCCAAGCGGAACCTAGTGATTAATATGCTAACAAGGATAATGTAGAATGTCAAACAAAAAGGTAGTGCTAAACGATTTAATGCAAATAGGAAAAGGAAGCACTATTTTGAGTGTAGGATTTTTTTCTTTTTACAAAAACATATATTCTAAATTTTTAAGGAGCAAATTGCCAACCTATTTTACGGCAGAGTCTATCTTATTGAAAATGTTAATCGAAACTCACGGTGCAAAGACAAACAGACTTCTCTGTATTCATAAAAAATCCAAAGCAATTGTTATAAAACCTCACCTACTAAAATGTTTAAATAATGTAGAAGATTATTAACTTTCCATTGGTCGACCCTTCCGGGACGAACATCGTTGAATGAGGTAATCTGAAGAAACGCTATTCAGTTTCAATAATAGCAAACAGTATTTTATGTTCCCAACAATGCTGATGAGATAAACTAAAAATTACAATACAAACTATAAATTACAAATGCGGACGGACGACGATTTGTGAGGCGGTCACTTTCACGCAGAAGCAACAATAATAACGGCTTGTTGGTAACTGAATCTGCAGATGCTCGCGATGCATCACTGCCATACTCTTAATACATTTCTATGAAAGTAGATCGAGAATATTTCGAGAATCTTTTGTTATTATAACGTGTAGTAGAAACAATTGAAATCAAAAGCTCACCCATCGACCATCTGTGGGCTCTAATTTATAACAATGATAGATTTACGGGTAAAGTATTTTGAATTTTAGAACAAAAGCTTTCTCTTTACTAATGTAAAGTACAAAAATGAATGTCCTTCTTTACATGCCATGTAGTATATTTACCCATTTTTAAACACAATAGGTATATCTCGACAGTTTTCGAAATCTTGGAACGCAACTTTATTAATAATGCACTCTGCAAGGTATAATTGCGTTTAACATTCTTAATAATCTATATGATGACCAGTATTATTCGAATTCTGCACGACATGCAAAGACATTAATATTCATAAAGGCTATTCAAAAGCTTTTCATCAAACCCTAGCGTGTCACATTGATAAAACACAATACAAAACAAAACTAGTTATATTATCACAATACATAACTAGTTAATTAAGTTAAGTATTCAACAATGGAAGTACTTTCGTTTAATTGGCTTTTTATCAAACTGTACATGAAATAAGATTCCTCTGGCGCCGCCTCGTTAAAAATGTTTGTATTGCAACAGCACGTGCGTCAGGGAGTCAGTTCCCTATGCATTGGATGCTTTAAACAAAGACAACGCGTCGTTCAGATTGGCTACGTGCCTGCCGACAACCCTCTCTCTGCGCTCCAGCCCCGATGTTACTATTCTGCAGATGTCCTGCGCTGCCGTTCGCTTTGCAGATCAAAGTGCGGCGACATTTTCCCCCTCTCTCCGCATATCAAAACAGTGGCCCCGTGGCTGCGAAGTCACGTGGGCCGTGCGACGTTCGGAACTCGGGGGCATCGCCCGGCAGCGCTACCCCGCCCGCTCCCCCACCCCCGGGGCCAATCCGCCCTCCCTCACGCTT